TGATTCTTTGTATTGTTTTCTTTGTTTCAATTTCATTAATTTCTGCCCTGATTTTTGTTATTTCTTCTTGCCTGCTGGGCTTGGGTTTCGTTTGCTGTTGCTTTTCAAGTGTCTTGAGTTGCAATGTTAAGTTATTTATTTGTGTTCTTTCCGTTTTTTTGATGTAGGCACTTAGAGCTCTAAACTTCCCTCTAAGGACAGCTTTCAGTGTGTCCCAGAGGTTTTGTTGTGTTGTATTGTACTTTTTATTTAGTTCCAGGAATACATTTCTTTCTTTCTTAATTTCTCTTTTGACCCATTAATCATTCAGGAGTGTGTTGTTTAATCTCCATGTGTTCATGTGGCGATTAGGGCTTCTTCTGATGTTGACTGTAAATTGTGGTCTGATAGAATGCATGGAATTATTTCAATCTTTTTGTATTTGTTGAAGTTTGTTTTGTGCCCCAGTATCTGGTCAATTTTGGAGAAGATTCCATGGGGTGCTGAGTACAAAGTATGTCCTTGGTGCTTGGGTAGAATACTCAGTACATGTCTGTTAAGTCCATTTGATATCTGGTATTGTTTAATTCACATGTCTCTCTGTTAACTCTCTGCCCTCTTCACCTATCTAATGGAGACAGTGGGGTATTGAAGTCCACTACTATTAATGAGTTGGGATTAATCTGGGTCTTAAAGTCCTTTAGTGTTGTTTTTATGAAGTTGGGTGCACGAGAGTTTGGTGAATATATGTTCATGATTGTAATATCTTCTTGATTCATTGCTCCTTTGATCAAAATGAAGTGGCCCTCTTTGTCTCTTCTGATTAGTTTTAGTTTAAAGTCTATTTTGTCAGATATTAGAATGGTATGCCTGCTTTTTTCTTAGTGCCATTTGCTTGGTATATTTTTTTCCATCCTTTCACTTTAAGATAGTGTCTGTCCTTGGAGGTGAGATGAGTTTCTTGCAAACAACAAAAAGATGGGTTTTTGTTTCTTAATCCATTCACCTAGTCTGTGTCTTTTGACTGAGGAGTTCAGTCCGTTAATATTTAAAGTTATTAATAAAAGATGAGCTTTGAATCCTGTCATTTTTATTTCTGTTTACATTCATGATATAGCTGTACTTTTCCACAGTTATACTTTCATTGAATTTCTTTCTGCAACCCCTTGGGTATAGTCATTCCTTCTTCAGCTCTTTGTATTGCTTCCAGAACCCTCTGAAGGGCTGGTTTTGCGGACATGAATTCCTTCACCCTATTTATGTCATGGAAGATTTTTCTTTCCCCTTCGACTATAATAGACATTTTGGCTGAGTAAAGTAATCTGGGTTGGCATCTGTGGTCATTTAGAACTGGGCATACTTTGAGCCAAGCTCTTCTGGCTTTCATAGATTGCACTGAAAAGTCAGCTGTAATTCTGATGGGTTTTGTGACTTGTTTTTCT